AGAGGGTGTGGGAGGGTCCCCACACCCCTCATACCCTTCCTCACATCCCACAAACCCAACACACATACACACACCTTGCAACATACCCTATGCCCCCCAACACAGCCACACCCCATCACAACGCCCCCCTCAACTACACCCCACACACAAAATACAAGAGTAAGGGTTTTTGGCCTATTATGCAGTCACCTCTATCTATACACTACACAAAAACCACAAATGACAAAATATTTTTTTTAATAGAATTAAAATACGTTATAGTAAATGTTTGACTTCTAGTATATGATTTGGTTTTTTCCTTGTTCAGATAACCCCCTTCCCAAAAGGAGTACTTCTCAGGGCAAGGGGAGGGACATCCAGTGGCAAAGGTCAGGGACTAGGGGTGGGACTTCCAATCCCAAGATGGTGACCATGGGGCAGGGCACCTATCAATGGGCAGGGCTACCATCGAGGCCCTCAACAGCTTACCAGAACTCATTAAGCAGGCCTTCAGCTGAAATAAATTACCCCCCTGCTGGTCTTAAGCAGAGGGCAAGCCAAGAGGAAATGAGCTGCTGCCACTGTCTCCAGCTAAATTGGGTTCCCTGGACAGCTGCTCCTTGCAATGCAAAGCAAGAACAGGTCATGAGCTGCTCTGGGGCTCCCCCTGCAACTGTTATTAGCCAGGACAGCAGCAGAAGGTGCAGGGGACAGGCACAGGTGGGCAAATGGCAAGAGGGCAGGTAGGGGGAAAAGGGCAAAGATCAGGCTGTCTGCCTCCTTTGCCACTGCTCTCCCCACCATAGTGGTCAAGGAGATCATTTAAGACAACCTCCCAGTAATTAAATTCTATCCATGGAAAATTGGAAGAAATGTGTAATTTTCCATGAAGAGAATCTAATTATTGGGAGGTCTTAAATTCAAAGTCATTTTAGATTCAAGTAAATCCATGCGACTACTATGTGTAGCATCCCAGACCAGCTGGAACAGCCAGGGATCAGGTATGCTGGGGGAAGGAGAGGGGTCTGTCTGCCACATGAGATGACACTCCTGATTTAAGAGAACATTCAAAGCAAATGTTTTTAAAATGTCAATTAAAAAAAAAAGATTTAATACACCTACCTATTAGTTCTTGAATTGCGAACTGGGGACTCTGCTCCTTTTAAGAGGTGCCTGAAATACTAAAATAGATGGATGAGTAAAAATACAAAAAAAAAAAAAAAAAAAAAAAAAAAAAAAAATCACTGAGTCAAGCACCTTCACTTCTCCATCGGTTTGGCTGCTCACAAGCGCTGGGGGGAGGGACAGCGTTTTATTTTAAGCTCAACACACCCCCATACCAAGCACAGCGCATGCTCAGAAGAGGCATTGTGGTAGTTGGAGCTGGCTTGCCCAAAGTCTGTATAGATTGGGTGCTTCAGCAGGACTTTTTGGCATTTATTTAATAGCTGACTGAAGTGCCCCACTGAAGCATCCAATCTATACAGACACTGCAGAGCCAAGTCAAACTAATCCACTGCCTCTTCCAGTAAAGCACTATTTGTTCCCCCCCCCACATCTGTCAGCTCCCTTTAATAGTATTTTACAATTTTAAGAGTTGATAGATATTTAAATAAATTATTATTTTTGCTTCCAAACCTTGCCTCCAGAATGAAAATTAAGAACTTTACCAATACACATCTCTAAACTTACAATGCTCTACCTCAAACAAGATATTTTAAAACTAGTATAACATTTTAATGACCTTAAAACAGTATATTTGTTTTTTCCCCCTCAGGAGTGGCTTTGCATGGTGGGTATGCTAAATCTTACAGTACTGTTGTATTATGAAAGGCAATCAAGTAGTATTAAAAGAAGTTCCCTATCAGTTACTTTTAGTTCAAGTCCTTACTTATACAAATGGGGGAGGGAGAGACCTTTTTTAGATTACAGTACTGCAAATTCAAGTCTAAGATGTGATACCTCTTGTCAGCACAGAGGTGGAAAAGGATCTGGGAGTCATTATTGACTCCAAGATGAACATGAGTCGGCAATGTGGGGAGGCGGCTAGGAGCATCTCAAGCAGGTCCAAGGAGGTGATCCTCCCCCTCTACGCGGCACTGGTCAGGCCGCAGCTGGAGTACTGC